AAAGGTGTCAAATTTGACCACTTTTCACCACTTCTGGCACCTCTTTCCACGACCCCAATACTGGGCCGACATCATTGGAGGTCCAAACAGTGCTTATAGTGAGCAACAAGGGCCAGGGAGCGGGGGGGCAATGTCAGCTTTGTTAGCATAGACAGCCCTTCCTGGATGTATTGCCTGGCGGCAAAACTCGACCCCCATCGTCCTCGAAGGAGGGATCGCTCCATGAGGCCATGAATACGAAAGTCTTCTGTAGCCCCTCCTCTTCGCAATGAATAGGGCCTGAAAGAGTCCTTCAAATGAAAATAAGCTGTAAGCTTTTTAAAAGCTTGCCGAAAATGTGCTTTTGACTCAGGCCAAACCAACTCATGTCGTGAAACACCAATGTCAAACAAAGTCTGTGCAATGAGGCGAGTGGGTGCGTCGGTGATAATGACATTTTCGTCAACCTGACGTCGAAGGCCGGTCTTTGTATCCCCCAGCCTGACGATCATATTTTCACTGCCAAGGAGCAAATGTCGAAATTTGACACTAAAAATTTCACCGGTGCGCAACATGCCACAGAACCCCAGGCAAAGGCAAAGTGCCAGCCGGAGGTCTTCCATTTCAATACATCGCCCAACTAGGGCCTTTGCCACTTCAACTGGGAATGGTGGTGCTTGTCGGGGTCGCTCCAGCTTGCGCCAAATTCCATATAGTTTCCATGCTCCCTTGAGTTTACCTCGGCTCCAAGGGAGATAGTGGTGAAGTCCTGACAGAGAATCCGCTACGGACGTAATACTCGCCCCACTGACATATTGTTTGTCGATCCACTCAATAAGGAAATCGTCAATATCATCTTGTGTCTTCTCGAGACTAGGCAAAATTGCTGCGACAGCAACGAAATACCTGATCCTGGTCTTCAGTGTCACAGCCCTGTCATGCTCTCTGATGATGCTCAGGCGCGGCTCGCGGCATCGGTCGGGTTCTCGCAAGAATCTACGTGGGCTAAATGAAGAAGAGCATGACTTACCAAAAGAAGAGTGTTAATTTTTCGAATGATAAATCTGAGCTTCCGACTTCCTGTCCGGCCCTTTGAGAGAATTGACAATGCAACGTACGAGTCTGTGAGGTGAAAGAGCCTCCTGTTGACCAATTGCCGATTCAGGACCTTCCATAGAATGGTGAGGTAGATAGCTCGAATCTCTAATGCATTTATGTGTTCCTCTTGTGACCATCGCGTATTGAAGACGGCGGTCCATGCCCACCAGCTGGCCTGAACCGACTGGCGCGGCATGGCTTTCGGATTCAACACTTGCCCTGTAGAAATCCTGATGTCGGATCCCGTGTGCCTTACTCGGGCGCAAAGATGTTGGTTCATGTTTGAAACTCTCAAGTGATCCCCACCAAGGCCTAAGCAACTTCCGCGCTGCAGGGGACATCTTAGAGGAAGGCGAAGTCCACAACCCGGGGGGAGTCCCATCCTATCAAACAGGAGCGAAGGGTCAAACATTTTGGTGAACGAAGCAACACTAGCCGCAGCAAAGAGTACAAACGACCAGATGGAAAAACTGTCCCCAATGAGACTGCATCTTTCGTCTTCGAAGGCTTGCTTGTTGGACTTGGCAGCCGAGGCTGACATGCAAAACAATGTATGATCTGCACCGTATCCCATCAAAACCTCTCTCTCCTCAGCCTTCAACAACCTGCCAACCCCCTGTTGGTCGTATACCAGGTATTGATCCTTATATTGATAAGGCGGAAAGCGAAATGACTCGCTTTCCCACCTCTCCCGCGCCTGCTCTGGGGTTCTTGCAAAACCAGCAGGCCGGGGTGGTGGCCGACAACGGCGAATCGCCTTCATGAAGGTGGGATAGACCACGCTGGGATCAGCTTGGCTCCATCCATGGGAGAGCCATTGTTCACATTTAGGCCAGTGGCCTTCAACCTCCAAATCCTTGTATCCTTCTTTTTGCGTGACTGAAAGGCGCTCAAAATGGTCCATGTCCAAGTCTGTCCAACAAAATCTCGGCCTGGAGTTTGGGACTTGATTTCGAGGGTCTACCCGGTAAGGTTGCACTCTCAACATCCGGCTGATCTGGTCTCTTGCCTCGGGGTCCATGCTGGCGACATTCTCCACAAAGAAGTGACTCTTCTTACTTGGAAAAATTTCACGACATGCCGCAAAGACACGAATGGCATCCCTTATCAACCCACTGGACTTACCGTCCAGATTCAAACGATTAGCACGTACGCTGCTGAGATCAACGCAAGGGAAACCAGCCCACAAGTGAACTTCTTCGAAGTCCTCAACATGCTCCAACAGTTCAATCAACTTAGCCTTAGTGAGGGTGCGCACGTCCTCCCAGAAAATGGTCCCCGGCCAACGTCGAGCCATAGTCCGGTTTGCGGGTTTGTGAATGTCACATGCCAAATATGCCTGGACCTTCACACCTGCAATGTCATAGCAACGCGCAGCCCCTCCAATGCCGTTGAATAGGGACACGACTAATACCGGTACTTCCAAAGGCGTGTTGCCCCTCTCTTGGGACACCAGGAAAGATCTTCCTTCAGCGGACAACTGGCGGGAAACAGCGACAGCACCGCCCTTCTGGCTTGCGTCACTGCACGTGGTCACCTCATCGACCTTAGCACCTAGCCAAGTATGAAAGAGCGGGCATCCACACACAGCCAGCATTAGCTCGATTCTTACTTTTTCTATCATGGTGGCGTCCGCCGCCTTGGCACTGATGTAGTTCCACACTTCGTCAAACAGACACATGCCTGGTCTTCTGAACTGCAGCACGAAACACCAGCGACCCATGACCACTTGTAGTTTCTTCTTTGACAGCCGGGGCTGAGACAGCAACCACAAAGTGCTCTTGACAATCTTCACCATTCGCTCACAACTGGCTCCAATCCACTGACCCGCGCCACCTACAAAAGCACCTAACTCCACTCCACTCTTGGCACCAATTACGGACTTCCCTGGGGACACCACAATACCTGCGTCTCCCCAAAGCGCTTCTGCCTGTTCTTGTAGCAACACAAGTTCATCGCAGGACTCTTCAATCACTTTGGCTCCCCCAGCAAAATTGTCCAAATAAACGTGCCACCATGGTTGCCCGCGCCTAGCCCCTTCAGCAGTCGAGTTAATCATCCAGCTAGGCAAAGGAGTGGTTTTCTGTATTTGAGCAGCCTCGGAGAAACCTCCACTCAAGAGCACGGCCTCGGCAATTTCTTGCATTACCCCCACGGCTGAGCTCCAGCCCATGGGAAGTACAGCGCATGACAGAAACCAGCGGTCTTCCACCCCGGCCCTAGTAGCCAGCCCTAGTGTTTTTGAATCAAAC